CACTGCATAAAAAGGGATTTCTTATTACATTTTTTTTTTTCACAGTAAGATATCAGTCCATTGGGTTGAAATTAGACATTTTTTAAAAGTGAATCTAACGCCTAACTATTATTCTGAATAGCTAGTATACGGTTTTACACGAGGGATTCATCACCACAGAGTATTTATATTACGATTAAAACACAGGTACTGTTTCCATTGGGATTTCTTTTATTCTAAAAGAATGTGATTTGGATGAAAACGTCATTAATGCGAGAATAAAAGTCATTTTCTGTATCTCACAATGTCATTAAATGAATCACGATGGTGTGTGTTTGTTTGATGGGTGTATTGATTGTGCTCCATCATATTAAGGGTGTCATACAGCTGCTTCCGCAGCGCCGGTTGCATCTACGGCAGATTGACATGTGCTGTAATTGAGTGTGGAGCTGTCTTATTTGTTGCTCCTCCTTGAAGCTGATGCACTGCGTCTAACCATGGGGAAGATACGGTGTTAATTACTGGAACTAAGGTGAGCTCTCAGACAATAGCTGCATCTGTAAGGCTGTCAGCTGCTGTTTGGGGTGCATGTGGCTGTTAAACTCGACGTGATGTGACATTTTCTTATTGTTTGCAAAAAATTATTGTCAAAAAAAGTTGTTTTATCAGACCATCAGCTGACCGAGTAGAACACTACAGCACTATGTCATTTGAACTTGCCTTGATGGCACTGAAAAGCACTGGTGAAGGCTGTGTAGCTTTAACTGCATGTATTTCTGAATTATAGTTCTAGTATAGATAGACAGACAGAGACAGATGTAAAGATAGATACTGTAGTGTAGATAGACAGATGTTATAAACACATAGGTGTGTGAATATAGATAGATGTAGCGGTAGACAGGCAGTTGGATGTAGGTATAGACAGATACACAAACAGGTAGCCTATAGACCAGGGGTGGCTAACCTGTTTGGCATAATGAGCCAAAAAAAAAAATGTATCACTGCAAAGAGCCACACAACAGATATGCAAACAACAGTATATCACAATACAAAATCCATGTCTGTATCAACATTCGTGTATCTGTCTATATCTACATCCATCTGATAGATAGAGAGATAGATATCGTCAGGATAGATATCGTAAGATGGATGGATGGACGGATGTAGATTGAATAGATATAAGTATAGACGGATGGATATAGATATATAGACCGATGTAAATACAGTCAGATGTCGATATAAACGGATGTAGATATAGACATGTAGATACAGACAGATAAGTGGATGTAAATATAGATAGGTACAAATAGATGATGTAGATATAGATACAAAACTGATAGAGATACATTTATCACATTTTAAGTAAATTAATGTACTATGAACAAACATCTGTTCATATAACATTGACTTAATTTAATAAATGCCATAATATACTTGGTCATTTTTAGCTCAAGTTATCGAATTAACTAATATTGACAAACTGACAGACTTTTTATTGTAAAATGTCAGAGAATATATATATAAAAATCTTGTGTTCCATGGGAAAAAATGTTAAAGAGTATGTAAATAATAATTTTCCTTTTTTTTGGGGGGGGGGGTGAACTATTATTTTTAATCTTACCAGTTTAAATCATTTGATCTCAACTGTCCATTAGCATTCAATATTTCAAGTGTGTACTATAATAAAACGCATGCAATTGATTCATAAGTATAGACGGATGGATATAGATATATAGTATATATATATATAATAATATGAACTATTATTTTTAATCTTACCAGTTTAAATCATTTGATCTCAACTGTCCATTAGCATTCAATATTTCAAGTGTGTACTATAATAAAACGCATGCAATTGATTCACATATTTACATATTAGCAGCAAAGGCTGTCACTTGCACATTAATCATTTGTGAAACGGGCTTCAAAACTGTAGCCAAAGACTTAATTATAATATGCTGCTTTAAACAGGCATTGAATAATAGTGTGCTTCTGGCCACACATTCCTCCTTGTTTTCAGCTGCCCTTCAAACAAGAAAGAAGAGTCATCAGGTAAGCCCTAGCAAACATTCTCCTGACAGAGAGAGCACTGGCTGTACGACAGCACATTTCCTTAGTAAAGGATTAGTGTGGTGTGTAGCACTGAAGATGCCCTCGGCCATGCCAGCGCTGATTATCACAGTTCAGTCATGAGAAGTCAAGCTCCTCCTCCAGGCGCGTCCTCATTTGGCTCGTGCTGATTTCTTGTCCTGAGCTTCCTCTCTCAGCCACAGGAAGCCCTTTGCGGCATTCTTAGGCTTCACCCCGAAAGCAACACGTCCTTCAAGTCCCCTTCCTCTTTTTTTAGAAAGGGTCGAGTCTCCTGCTGGCGTATCAGTTTCGCTGACAGCTCTTCTGAACTTGAGAACTAGTACTAGAACCTGAGTGGTCAACTAATGAAAATTTTTTCGGCCTCAGCATAATAAAAGTGTGCTCTTCTCTTCCAGCATTGAAATAAAGTTCCTGTGGATGTCTGTGTAACTAAGCTTTGCATCTGTCAGCTATGCTGTTGTTTGATGCGGCTCTTGCAGGAACCAGTTCTTTAGCCGTCTAAGCTGACAGCTGGGCACGTTTTCCAGGAAGACGACCAGTCGTGGATCCTATTGCCCTCCATAAATAACACCACTGAGGCCGGGTCTGCAAGATCCAGACCCTACCAACTGGTGGCCTACTAGAACAGACGGCTATCTGTGATGAGATGGAAAACCATTAAAAGACCCCCTCACATGATACAAGAATATATAGTTTCAGCTAAAGAGAAGGATGGAATATGTTGCCAACACAATATGCACACATAGGGACATATTGAGAGAAATCAAGATTTGATTGATTGTTTTTTAAAGGTGGTAGTATTAATTTCTGTCACATGTCTATTGGGTAAGACTCAGGGTCTGTCCTGTCTTAGTGTAACCCTGAAACTGGAGCTATATTGAGAAACCATGTTGCTCCAGGTGCAAATGTCAAATCACCAAGCTCAATGTTGTTTACACTAAACTTGCACCTCTGCTGTTGTCCAGTAGGAGGAGAAGTAACAGATACAGTTTGAACATTTATTTGCTGCTCAACAATGGTGAAAGCAAAATTGAAATCTGAATAAATGCACTTTTGTTTATATGCTTAGACGTTAATATATATAATTAAATGTGCAACTTTATTTTATTTTTTGGGAAATAAAATTCAAGATAAACAGTAAATTGTAAAGACACCTAAAAAAAATCATGTTTAGTATATCACTGAAAGATATCACTCATTTAGAAGATACAGGAACTGTAGAGGCCAATGCAGTTGATGACATGACTGCCACTAGATCTGTTTCATTTGTCCTCACTGATGACTGTTGGCAGCAGGAAGATCAACTCTGTAACATTTACATGCTTGCATTATCCATTAAGCACACCATCAGACAAATGAATGCCTAATCATTTGTTGGAGAACACTTCATTATACATCTGATCCAATAGTTACTAGAATAAAGTCAACACACAATTCTGAAAGGTCAAAAACTGCAAAAGATGAAACTGAACCAAATACTATTTTATCATTTTAGGTGGTCAATTTATATACATGCACAGAGATAACTAAGCAAATGCATAAATAGGCCTAAATAAATAAATGCATAAATAAATAAAATAAAGACTGGAATATTTTGGAGTCGACTATAGGCCAGCATACACCAGCTGACAACCATCTACAAAGATTCTGTTTCAGCTGCTATTTTGGTTAAGTAACAGCATCTCTCAGACCGTAAATCATAACCATAAAAATCACAGATGTCAGTAAATCTCTTTTACACATCATTGGGTTTTATCTATGTTTATACTTTGAAAATGACTTGTTTTAGGGTCTCATTTCATAGCCTGTCAAGTACAGGCACAGTGTATCTTGTCATCTGTGTTATAAGTATCCACATAATAATAATGATGATGATGATGATGATGACAATAGGCCTAATAATAATTATGATGAAGCCCAACCTTTATTTGTTATATTTTATCATCAATATTTAGCTATAAAATGTAATTTGTCAAGTTACACTTCGTTACGACAGATTAGATAGGCCTATTGCTTAAATACAGAATATCTAAGCCCACTTTATTAGGCTTTTTGAAAGCTCATCTCTTTAATACAGCCTCTTAAACAAGTCAAGAATGGGAAAATTGTCTGTGTCTTATTATAGGCCCTATGTATTGTAAATATTATCAATCTGTGTGGTTGGTTTTCCCCCTTTTTAAATATATATTTATGAAGATGCTCGCTAATGTTGATGCGTTTAATAATAATAAAAAATAAATGTCCGTATGCTCTCTCTTCCATCTTTATTATAAGGGTTTGGCTCCGCCCTCCTACCTGTAAATCTCCCCAGCAATCTGTGGAGCAGATCTGACGGACTCCGCCTGGATCTGCTGAGGAAAGTGAATGGGGACAGCGACATGTTATTGAGAGCGGAATAATCGCCGAAACGCCGATATTTGAACGGGTTCTCCCACCGAGCCCTCGCAAGACTACAAAGAGCGGCTCGGTGCCCAGCAGAATAGCTTTGGAGACATTGACTAAATTGGCGTTTATGAGAGAAATCTCGATTAGACGCCGCTGAGGCGACCCTGTCACTGGATGGACGACAGAGAGCTTGTAGACAGCCGTTTGTCCGCGTTTCTCTCACGACTCCTCTTGCTTTCTGACTGATAGCAACACAGACCGCGCGAATATCGGTTTTAGTCTCCATTTTATTTTGAAGATATGGAAAAAGACGAGGAAAACCCTTCAAAATGAAATATGAAGTCGTCTTTCATGCGGATTTAAATGTCTCGCGCTGAGGGTAACGTTAACGGACGCGCGTTTCCTCCTCACGCTCTCCAAGCTGCTGCATTTCTCGCTCAAAAATATTAATCACACTAAGCAGACGTGGATAGAAAAATTGAGAAGAAAAGAGAGGGATATTTGAAGCAATATGGCTGATGGCTGGGGTTGGGGGCGCTGGCAGGAGCTCTCCAAAGCTTCATCTCAATGCTAGCTGTGGCAGATGGCAACGGATCCTATGGCAGCAGCTGTAGAATGAGTAATAATATCAATTTGAATAAAAACCCGGACTCTTCTGTTTCTATATCGAAGATGGACCTGATCATCCCGTTCTCACCAGACGTACCCTGTGACAACAATGGTCAGCGCATGTGGTGGGCTTTCCTCGCCTCATCCATGGTGACGTTCTTCGGGGGTCTCTTCATCATCCTCCTGTGGAGGACCCTTAAGTACCTGTGGACGGTCTGCTGCCATTGCAACATCAAAAACAAGGTAATGCGAGCCCTTTTCCCTCTCCACGAAAAGCACCATTAGCTGGAATTAAATGGTCGTGTTATCTTTGTGCATTGGTAGTTTATCTTCATAACTAAATGGCATTTGGATGGCAGTGGATTGGCATTGATAGAAGTAATTCATTGTGAGTAATACATTGGATCTGCATGACAATTTCGCAGCAAGCACTCAGTCTGAATAAACCACTGGCACAGACCAAAACATGTCAGCATTTGCACATTTAAAGAACTTGGAATTAAGAGATTCATATATATATATATATAATATATAATATATAATATAATATAATTATATATATATATATATATTATATATATATATATATAGAGTGTCAACAAATGAAAGCCTTTTATATAGGCCTCATATGTGTATGAACAAATTACAGTATTTAAATCTTTTATTTTATTTGATCCTTTTTTCTCCTTGTTAGTGGTTTGTTGATGGATGAAAATGGTTGATAGGTGTCAGTTAGAAAAATATTCAGAGAATACACAAGATTTGTATCAGGAATTAGAGATGTAAAGGTGTACGCAATCAGTAACCCGGTAATCCATTTAAACTGTTACTAGATTCCGTCTGTAACCTTGTAAACAAGGCGTTTAGACACAAGATGACTGCAGAATGAAGTTATATTAGACAGCTTTTAGTCATACACTGACTGTCTTGAAAGTCACATAGTAACTTGTATGCATAAAAGATTATATTTGTTACTTTGGCTAGTGGTTTGTTGATGGTTGTTTAAAGTATATATCAACCTTTTAAAAACATGTAATATATGGTTCATTATGCGCAGTAAAATTAAAAGCAAGCCAGTACATTAATATAGATGAGCATGGTCATGTAGGGACACAGATTATCTTTAACTAACAGCCATCATTGACTACAAACACATTTTAGTGTTTGATTTTCATGGGAAACCAATCTAGACCGGTTGCTTGCAAGTGTGTGAAATGTAGGATTCTATTTTTCACATTTTTTCAATTTGATAGTAATGTGATGGCTTCCATTAGGCACTCAAAATGGACTCGGTGAGACCCAGTGTGCGATTGCAACAACAGTGTGGCTTGTCTTCTGCGTATCCATCATCTTTGACGGATTGGCTGCAATCCAATGTAAATGGAAAAGTGTTATTCACATTTCTAGAGACTCAATGCAGACATAAAAAAGGACCGAAGCTTCATTTTGGCTGCTTCATGTGGGATTTGAGGAGACAATACCCAGTGAGTTATAATTAACCACATGAGGCCTGGATTCAAACAGCCAATACACTTTAATCCCTATTAGTATCTACCGACTAAGATATCTGTCTGGAAATGACTTAAAAGATAGATTAGATGGTTTGTCTCCCTGCTAGTTTGTCAATAACCTTGGCTGTGGGGTTTTCTCGCATTTAAATGGTTGAATCCTTCTCGTTCGGATGAGACTGTGTTGAACTTGTTATTTATTTAAATGAGAAGGGTTAATGACGTCTGTGAAGTCACCAGTCTTCATTACCATTTAATTAAGTACATGTACAAGCGTTCCAGCAAAGCAGAGTCTGTCTGAAACTGACACTATAGTTCATCCTCTTTGGATGGAAGTTGTTAAAACGCAATCAGGCCTGTGTTTATATCACCTGCTGTTGGGAAGCCTTGATTAAGCCTTGTTGTCTTCTCTGGGATATGATGTATAAGTATAAACCTGACTGATTTGCGTCGTCAGTGTTTCCCTACCAGTGGCTGATGACAACCCGTTGTTGGGCCATTGGGAATGAGTATGTTGTGCCAAATGATATCTCACTATATCCCGTTTCCAAGAAGAAATGAAAATGGGGCTGTGGATAAGTGTGTGCATTTGATGTGTTTCCTAGTGGAAGGAGACTCTGGAGGGGTGACTTTGTGGACTGGTATTGACACTCTGTTGCAAGGGGAACATGCTTGTTAGGAGCATTAAGAGACTGAAACGTTATCCCCCATGCAGCTGACTGAGGACGGCAGGTCTTCCAGGCATGGTGTCAGTAATGGGACGCGCAGCAGAGGCCGGCCATGTTGAGCAAGTGGGTGAGACTGAGAGCGTGCCATTATATTAGTCATAGAGATTGCACCGTACAGGTGTAATGCACCTGAAAACAAGATCCCACATCATCTTAGTTGCTCATCTGTGCTTCCTGCTTGTGTTTTACACTTTGCGGATTGGTTATTCGCTGTGTCTTCCCATTGTTCTCTAGGTGATAAGTACCCCTAGGTACAGTTGCGACACGGAAGGAATGATGACTTAAAGGGTTCATATGATGTTGCTAAAAAGAACATTATTTTGTGTATTCGGTGTAATGAAATGTGTTTATGCGGTTTAAGGTTCAAAAAACACATTTTCCCACATACTGTACATTATTGTTTCTCCTCTATGCCCTGCCTTTCTGAAACGCGTCGATTTTTGCAAAGCCCCACATCGTGACGTAGACATGTGGGGGGCGTGTTTAAACGAGGCATTTTAGGAGGGCGTGGACCAGTTTTAACTTTTATAAAGAATATCTCTTTGGGTTTGAGACTTTAGTCTTTGCAACTTTAGGGATCTTATCTATTCACGAACAGCTTGTAACACTCCAAAGAGAAAGGAAAACTTGAAATCGCATCATATGACCCCTTTAATGTGACTCTCTCTTTGTCCTCTGTGGCACCTTGCCTCAGGCTCCAGCTAAAACAAATGTGCTTTACCCTACAATACCTATTGAGTCTTACAGGGAACCGTTTCTTGTCCTTGGTAAAGGGGCAAACAGAATAAATGTAGGATAATGCTCAGTTTTAGAGTTTTTTTATTTTAAATTTCTTGCACTGGTAGCAGGTAGCAACACCACTGACAGTAACAAAAACACTTGGCATCCTTTTATTTGAGTTAAGTAGGTTTGTTGGTGCTTTAAGCTGACTTTCTAAGTGAGGGGCATATCGATTCAAGAACCATGGCAAAAAACTGTGGCAACTATGGTAAAAATGCTACGGTAAAACCTGTTAATTGGTTAACAGTATATTGCCTTACTTTATACTGTAAAAAAAAATAATAAATCTAATGGGACATTTTGTGTAATTTTACAGCAAAATCCTGTTAAATAAATATTTTTGGAAGTGAAAAAGATCAAGTCATCTTATAATTTGCAGTGCAAAAATTCCCAGAATTTCCAGTGTATTCACACTTCACATTTATATATATATATCAGTTAGGCCTATATATATTGGGTTTTTATATTATATCTTATGTTTCTAAATGAAGGTTTATACTATTATATTAGTGTTGTATATCACCATGTTGCTGTTTTATATTTTTGTTTATGACAAATATATTAGTATTTACCTCAGCTACTTCTATTTGTATGCATGTATGTATTTATTTATTTATTTTGCAGTGTACTTTTCAGTTAGTACACTTTTTTGAATATATAATGAATAAAGCTGGTTGGTTGCATATTGCCATCTTTGCTTTTGTTAAGCCAATCATTTGAGCTATGACAAATCACTTTGGAGCTACAGGAAGAATTGCAACTGATTGGCTGTTGGCATCACATGAACATGCACAGTCCCATAGCCTTTCACTAGCGACTGTCCTGCCGGTGCATGAGCTGTGACGTCAAAGGGAGGAAAGGGAAAGATATGAGGTTTCCAGAACACATCAGAATACATGGCTTTTTTTTATATTAAATGCTCCTTGTTCACATGATGCTGTAATTATGACATCTATCAGCAGAGGCTGACTTCCACTAGCAAAACATAAATGCTTACATACATACTTTACCTTTAATGAGTTTGCTTATTTTAATAAGGCAGACACTATCCACATTAAATGCATGTTTCTTTGTGACCCAAATTTCTGTTTCAATTTTGCCAGAGGTTGCAAAAACACTACTAAAGCAGAGTTTGTTATTGATTTATATACCATGTTTATTTAATATTGTTTTGTATTTCTGCTCTAAATTGCTTTATTCATTTCCCTGTCTTGTTTTATTGGCAAATGACATGAATGTGTTTACCAAAAGCTATTGTTCCTTGAAATGAGCCTTTGCTTTTTGATCCAATGATTTAGTCCATGTCCTGCATGACTACCGTTTTCCATTTTAAAGCTCAAGACGCTCTCTGACCCACTGGAGGGTTACGTCTCAAATGAGGCGTGTGTTTTGTATGCATGTGTTATGAGACTACAATACAAAGATATTTTATAGATCTAGGGCTGAACTTTGTATTTTCATTAAAGCACTCAGAATTACTGAGATGCCTAGGAAGTGGGTTTGTTGTGCGCCTGTGCATCCCCTCGTGCTTGGCAACGCGCCGGCTGCCTTTGGGCTAACAGGAGGACAGCACACACCCAAAGATCAGCTGTCCCTCTCACTAACACTCTAACACAATGTACCCTGTGAGTCTGTGCTCGGTACATGCCTCTATAGCTCCATTGTGAGATAAACATCAAATTATTTTCATTGTCACTAAGATAGTTTGCATTTTGAAAATGCAAATGAGTACAGTGGAAGAGCATGTGGTGGAAGTCAAAGGATACTTGGGTGTTACACTTCAGTAGTAATTCTGCTTTAAATTAAGCTTTTTCGAGTACAGTTATTTTTCCCTCTGGCTTCTTTTAAAGCCTTGCAACAAAGTCCATCTTGTAACCGCTCAATAAGAATGATGTGAAATTGATTTGCTATTGATCACAACAGTCTGTCTATGTACACTTCTTGAATTGATATCTGGAAATGGTTTAAATGGCGTATAGCCTTGGGATGTCACGTTGGCCGTTTGTTGTTGTCAATATGACAAATGAGTATTAGGGCTGCACGATATATCGTTTCAGTATTGATTTTGCGATCTGTGCATCCGCGATTGTCACATCGCAGGATGTGCGATGTTTAATGTACTGATTGTTATTAGGGCTGTCAAAAAAAAATCTTATTTCGAATATTCGTTGAATTTAAAATAAAAATCCACATTCGAATGCAAAAACGGTGTTTGTTTTTAGTTTTT